ATATCTTTCATTATTAAAGTTGGGTCAAGGGTATAAAACACCCCTAAGTATATTTACAATTCATATCATATTCCTCACATGCAAAAAATACCATTAAAATTTCAATTTGGTGCAAATAGGCCACTCTGATAAATTTAAATCCCAAATTGACTAAATTACCCTTACTGAACCATTTTATAAAATATGTAAAAATAAATAATTTTGTAAAATGACCGAAAATGACACTATTGGAGAATGTTAATCTCGTACAAAAAACAATCCAAAAGTTTCAATTTGGTGCAAATAGGTCCCTCTGACAAATTTAAACCATAAGTTGACTAAATTACCTTTACTGAACCATTTTATAAAATATATAAAAATAAATAATTTTATAAAATGACTGAAAATGACACTATTGGAGGGCCGGCAATGGACAAGTAAAGATAAAAATATAAAATAAAAATAAAAATAAAAGTATAAAAGAAAAGTAAAAATAAAAATAAAAAATAAAAAACAAAAATAAAGTGCAAACTAAAGAAAACAAAAATTTTCCAAACTTCGAAAACCAGTGCACACTGATATTGAGATTTTTTTAAAAAATTTATTTTAACAGTATTGATACGAAAAAAAAGATTTAGTAGAAAAGAGTAAATCAGAATCTCACAAAATTCAAATATTTGTTCTACAAATTCTCAAAGTTTGTTTAAAAAATGTCTAGAGATATATATAGAGAAAAAAGTTTTTTTTAAAAATATATAATACCTATATATTATGAGATTAATTGCAAATATACATACTTTGGCATTTTTGGAAGAGTAAAATGACAAAACGAATATTACAACGCTAATTTATGTCAAAAGAGTATTTTTGCACAATGTGAAAAGATTAGGAATATTTTTTACACACTTTTTTAAATAGAAGTAAAAATAATGCGAAATATATTTTAAAAGTATTTTTTACACTTTTTCCAATTAGATTTACTGTTGCGTAGTGTGTTATACGGAGTATGTGTTTTAACTAAGACGTGAATCAGCCATTCAACTTTGTGAAAAGGGTGAGAGGTAGTGGTCGCCACTCAATAGTATTTGGGATCTGTCCATGTCCAGAACCCCACCTTGAGGTACTAATTAAACTTTGAATTTGTTTTTTTTTTTTTTTTAATCATCTCATTATATAATTTGATTTATTATTCCATTTTAGGTGGTTAAAGAAGCTCTGCTGAGAACTGTGAAAGAGGCTGTAGGAGAGAAATGGAGTGAAGAGATGGATGGTGAAGCCTATGACCAGTTGGCCGCGGGCTGCAGCCATCAAGGCTGAAATAAATGAAGAGGCTGCTCAGCTTGCCTTAAACCCGTACCCCTCTTGATTTAATTCTTAACGAACTTCACACACACACACACACAGTGTGTGTGGAAATGCAAACACTCTAATGCTTTGTGTCCAATGTCCCTATTATGACTATTTGGTGCCCTGTGAGGGGACCCGATCCCATCCTGTGGGATCGTGTGAGTGTGTTGTGCTGGTTTAATGCGCAACATGTTGACCAAGTATGCCTAATGGAGCCCAACACAACGTGGCTTGCGTTCGGAACTTAATTGTGGATCAAGGAAAATGAATCTTGTACTGAAATTTTTTAAAGAATTGTTACACTTATTATTTTAATTGATCAATTATGTAACAAATAAGAAAGTAATAAATAACTTAAAAATTATTGAATTAAACAATTCATTACAAGTAGTATTACTCAAACAACACTGTTTTGGGTCTGCATTGAATTGCATACACATTGTTTTGGTGCACAACCATGGGCGGAGCAAGGGGCATAACTCCAAATTGGCCCAAAAAAAATTAAAAATTTATTAGTAGTAATAATGTATAGTTATTAATGGTAATTTTGTATGTAATATTAAAGTTTGCCCTTCAAATATTTTTCAGAATTTTATTAACAGTAATTATTCATATTTATTAATGGTAATTTTGTATAGGAAAATTAAACTTGACCTCCCAAAATTTTCAAAAGTTCTCATTTATAGTTACTTACATATGAAAATTGAAGATGGTTTATGAAAGTACAATAAACTTTTTGGTCTTGTCTTTAAAAATTCAAACTTAATAATAGAAGCGTTAATTATTTTGGTATTCTATATATATATATATTATATATATAGTATATAAATTATTTGTTATGATTTAGAGAGAGAGACAAAAGAAAAAAAGAAGAGAATAGTAGGGCACTGTTAACTAATGTTCTTTTTATTTATTTTTCTGTTATCGTTTATAGATCTATTCTTAAAAATGTACATTAAAAATGAACAGAAAAAAAAAATTGTAATTATTTTATTTATTTATTAAATTTAACTTTACACCACTATGTGGCTCCCACAACTGAAAAATTATGACTCCACCCTGTGCACAACATGCACGCAACTCCTTTTTATATGTTGACCTTTGGCATACTTTTAATTGAGATTATAAGGAATAATTTAAATACGTAGAATCAGGGGTAAAAAAAACATTTGTCATTTAAATTATTCATTCATTATAGTGACATTTGATATAGGATACGGAAAGGTAAATATGAAATATGTGTAATCACTTGCAAAATGCATATCATTTAAGTTTCCTTTTCAATATGGATGGTACACAAGGCTCCAAAGTAAAAAACCATTGACAAAACACACATCTTATATTAACGGCCAATGACTTAGTAATATTAAATTTTTATTTTCTAAACAGAGGTCAGGGGTTCAAGTTTCAATAAAAACATATATGTACCAACTAAGAAAAAAAAAAAAGGTACAGATTTAATGTTCCTAAACATAACAATAATATTTTTGCATTCGACAAAAGTTAAATTGAAGATGTCCGAATGTACAATTTGCACCGAAAATACCTTAACCATTGCAGCACCCTTGCAAATTATTATAATCAATGGAGCTACTCTTGTCGAGGATTTTAACTGAATCCTTGGCTGCACACTGTTTATTGACAAGATATAAAGAAGTATGAGTCTTACATTCTTATATTTTGGCATATCTAATTAATCGACAATTTTCGACTAAATATTTAGGTTAAAATCTTTGGCCTTCAAGCATTTTCTTGCATGACTCCTTTCACATTCATTATGTTTTATAAATTCATTATTCTTAAAGCATAATATTGGATTGAAATAACAACATGATCAGGGTAGAGTCAGTATATGTTCAGAGTGGGCACATCCCCCCTTGCCCAGCTTACTATATTATATATAGTGATTTTTGTAATTTCCTTACATATATATGAAAATCTATATACAATGTCCCCTAAAACTATTTTATTTTTTTAAAATTTTTCTTATTTTTCTCTTTCCCTCTCTAAATTTCATTAATTTCCTTTAAAAAATAAAATTTCCTTACTTCTTCAATTATGCTGTAATTCTATTTTTTTTTCAAAAGTATTTCATTTTTCTTCTTTTACTATCTAAAATTATTATTCATTTTCTTTTCTTTTTTTATTTTTATTTTTACACTATTCCTCTAAATTGAAATCCAACGACCCTGAACTTGACCCACGACTTGGACTTTCGTCACTTCTTCAAAAAATCTAGGAAGATAAACAATAACGACACCCCTAAAACTATTTTAGTTTTAATTTATTTTTTTATTTTTCTCTTTCCCTTTTTAAATTTCATTTTTTTTTCCTAAATCCTTTTTAAATTTCATTAATCTCTTTTCTTCTTTAATCATGCTGCAATTCTATTTTTTTTTCAAAATTATTTTATTTTTCTTTTCTTTTTTCTTCTTTTACTATCTAAAATTATTATTCATTTTCATTTTCTTTTATTTATTTATTTATTTATTTTATTTTTACACTATTCCTCTAAATTGAAATCCAACTACCCTGAACTTGACCCATGACTTGGACTTTCGTCACTTCTTCAAAAAATCTAGGAAGATAAACAATAACGACACCCCTAAAACTATTTTAGTTTTAATTTATTTTTTTATTTTTCTCTTTCCCTTTTTAAATTTCATTTTTTTTTCCTAAATCCTTTTTAAATTTCATTAATCTCTTTTCTTCTTTAATCATGCTGCAATTCTATTTTTTTTTCAAAATTATTTTATTTTTCTTTTCTTTTTTCTTCTTTTACTATCTAAAATTATTATTCATTTTCATTTTCTTTTATTTATTTATTTATTTATTTTATTTTTACACTATTCCTCTAAATTGAAATCCAACTACCCTGAACTTGACCCATGACTTGGACTTTCGTCACTTCTTCAAAAAATCTAGGAAGATAAACAATAACGACACCCCTAAAACTATTTTAGTTTTAATTTTTTATTTTATTTTTCTCTTTCCCTTTTTAAATTTCATTTTTTTTTTCCTAAATCCTTTTTAAATTTCATTAATCTCCTTTCTTCTTTAATCATGCTGTAATTCTATTTTTTTTCAAAATTATTTTATTTTTCTTTTCTTTTTTCTTCTTTTACTATCTAAAATTATTATTCATTTTCATTTTCATTTATTTATTTATTTATTTATTTATTTATTTATTACACTATTCCTCTAAATTGAAATCCAACTACCCTGAACTTGACCCATGACTTGGACTTTCGTCACTTCTTTAAAAAATCTAGAAAGATAAACAATAACGACACCCCTAAAACTATTTTAGTTTTTTAAATTTTTCTTATTTTTCTCTTTTTCTTTTTAAATTTCATTAATTTCCTTTAAAAAATAAAATTTTCTTACTTCTTCAATCATGCTGTAATTCTATTTTTTTTCAAAATTATTTCATTTTTCTTCTTTTACTATCTAAAATTATTATTCATTTTCTTTTTCTTTTTTTTAATTTTTATTTTTACACTATTCCTCTAAATTGAAATCCAACTAACCTGAACTTGACCCATGACTTGGACTTTCGTCACTTCTTCAAAAAAAATCTGGGAAGATAAACAATAACGACTCCGAATTACTGAAAGGGACAGGGCTAAAACAAATACAAATAAAAATAAAATATAGGGGTTTCGTTGAAACCAACAAAAATGAATAATGCAGAACCACCTCAGCAACCAAATACCACTACTAGTAACAGCTAACGCTTACTCTCTCTCTCTCTGTCCTGAACCACACTTCACGCTGTTCCTTTCTCTCTCTAGAATACATACCGCAAAAACGCTCTCTCTCTCTCTCTCTCTCTCTCTCTCCAGAGTACAGATTCATATACATGAATGTATATATAAAGATTTCGTTGAATGAGAGAAGAAGTTGAATGAAGCGAGAAGGCGATTATGAAAGAGAGAATGTTCAGGCTGCATAGACACAAGTCAGAATCCGTCAAGTCTGGAGAGAGAATCGATTTCAACTTCTCCAACATTCAGGCTATTCAGGTCTCCTCTCTTTCTCTCTAGGACTGCCTATCTCTCTCTCTAACTGCATCTTCATATAGATTTTACCTCTATCTGCTTTTCAATCAGTGTTGCTTCAAATCTGCTGTTTCATTGCGAGAACATATTCAATTACACACAAAAAAAAAAAAAAAAAAAAAATTCTTCATCAAGTAATTTACCAATTCTAGAACCTTGTTGAAAGAATTGAAGTACAAGTAGACTCTAAACCCGAACAGGCTTGCAAGGATTGGTGTTCAATTACACAATTCTTTACACATTCCGTTGATGTCTCGATTATCATTATGTTTACACTTTTGTTTTAACCCTTTATCAATAAATAGCAACTTTAATTATAAAATTAATAATTTATAGGAAACTACCCACGTGTACTCTCTCACTTCGTCTCTGTAACATGGGCTGAATTTCTTTGATAACTAGGCTGTATGGTGCATTCTTTTATTATTATTATTATTGTGTAAATAAAATACTGGTAAGCTTCGAAGATAATTGCTGTTTTTTTAAGTCTAAACAAGGGATTAATTTTTCTTTTTTATTTGGCGTTTTTTTTTATTTAAAGTTTTGACTAATTAACTGTTGGAAACTGTAAATACTTACCCAAGGTTCTTTCACAATTGAAAGATTATTAGTTCTTGAACATTCAGCTAATTGCTTGATTTATTGTCAATCACGTTTTTGGTGTGGTATGTCTTTGATGTGACTGGATGACACTGGGCAAGTGCCAAGCGGTAATGTAAGAGAATTTGTAATCATAATTTTCAAGGTAATATAACAAGGAATTTTTATTGGAGATGTGAGTATGTAAACAAATAAAGATTTTTTTTCCCCCCGAAATATTGGATGTTTATTGAATTAGTGTTTTATCCATTTTATAAAAATTGTCAGAAAAATATAGATGTATATTTAAATATGAAAACCCTTATCTTGTAGGAATCAGTATGAGGTAATATTCTCACTAAAGTCTTTGATTTTAAGTTTGCTCATTCTTGCTTTTAGTTCATTATGATTATACTTTATACCCAATTGAAAATCAATGGCAATCCTCAATACTTTCGCTCTTTGAGACTTAATATCTCCTTTACTGTTAACATTGCCAATTTATGGATCCTCCTATGGTTGGTCACAGTGAAGCTCTTTAATTTTTCTATATTTAGTGATTATGACGAGTGATATTCTGAATATTTAAGTCCTTTAAATAATTGATATGGTTATCTCATGCTAGGTCCTTGGACCGCGAAGAAAATTGAAAAGGCTTGTGCCATTGCTGAAAATTTATTTTGTTGAGTATTATGCAGTACAAGACTTTACCATCACGTCTTCTTTGTCATGTTGAAGTTTTTACCAACCTCTCATATTGTATTATGGTATTGTCAGTGCCTTTTCGTGACTGAAAACTTGTCTTTAGGCTAGTAGTCAATCATAGAATTAGACTAGACAAGCTCAGCCTTCAACCTTCTATCTAATTGACCAAGTTTGAAAGGGTAGTTGGGAACAGTAGAGAATAGAAAATCAGAAAACAAGCAAGTTTATTCATTTATGATACAAGACAATATTACCTTGGAGGAGGAAATCCTCTAAAGTTTATGGAGGATCTTGATCTTCCCTTGAACTGATCATCTTTATGTCATTATCCTATTACCATGGAACCTATATTCTCTGCTTCTTGGAATGAATTTCTGTTGTGGCTTTTTTTAGAGCATAATAAATAAAAAATGCCGGAAAAAATTCAACCCGAGAGTTTATCCTGCAAATTCAGGGTTGGAAGGAGTAAGCTGGACACAATCACACAGACCTAGTTTCTGTCATTATTTGAACAAAGTGACTACATATCTTAAACCTGCACTCGCACACTGGCAGCCCAAGCTTTTACTGTTGCAACATAAAATTCCATCTCTAACATGAATATGTAAAATGAGTTTACTCTCTAGTAACTGCTTAGAAGATTCTTGCATTCAGTTCAAAGGATCATATACTTACAGTTTTCCAGTAGTACCATCCTTGGTCTTGAATAAGATTCATTAAGCCTATCGTCCATAAGCATGTACTTGAATAATAGTCATCGGCCATTGAGAAATATTAACTCAAAAAATGACATTGTTTGAATTTACATTGATTACTGTTACAATTAGGGAGTTTTGGATTCTGACATAAAAAAGAGAAAAACAACTAAGATGTTCTCATCAAAGCATCAACACATCTGCTGCTAGGGAGTCTCTTCAGAAACAGAGGAAGTGTGATGCCGTGGCAGAGCCACGATTTTGATTTCTCAATGGGGGAGAGGGGGGTGGGGGTGACTCACCTGTGTGGGAGTGTAACAACATTTTGCCTTTTAGTTCCATTACAATATGAAATTGTAATTTAAGAACAACAATAGAACAAATGAGGTTTCCCAAATATAAGCATACTTTTTCACAGTCATTATCCAATTATTTCTTCTAATGAACTATGCTAAGTCACCATAGGTTGTTTAGTTATGGCTCAAGGAAATTATGACAAATACAATAGAGTTAACTGGAATGGATCCTTCATCCAGTGTATTGTAAATAGAGGCTAGAGCGCCCTAGCAAACTTTGCCAATGTCACTTCAAGATCCACTCTAGCTGCAGTCACGACAAGTGGTTTCGGTTTTGGAGTAAAGATAGGTACTGTTATTACTTTTAATTGATTGAAACTATCACAAGCTATTGATTTATTAGACAGTTTAATGGACACTCATAATTTAGTGTCTGCGACAGGTCGGTTTATGCTACTTTTGTCTTCGCTACCGGAAATCTATGCCTAATTTGTTTCCATTTTCCATTTATTTTAGCTTCCCTGTTTCTTAAAATATTTATCTTCAATTTTTTTCTCAACATAACTTTCTGCTTGAAGGTGCCTAAAGGATGGGACAAGCTTTCTGTGGCTATGGTCTCTGTGGAAACAGGGAAAACTATCAGCAAATCAGGGAAAGCATCTGTAAAGAATGGAGCTTGTCAATGGACAGAGACTTTATCAGAGTCAATATGGATTTCTGGGGATGATCCTTCAAAACAACTCGAGCAATGCCTTCTCAAGCTTGTTATTGCCATGGTCTAATGCCTTAGTTGATTGTCAATAATTTTGGTTGTTTTTTATCTGAATCTGAAAGCTGTGTGCCTACCATCATTGTTCTCAATTTTTTATTTCTTTTGCTTTTAATACTTAATAGTAAAATCAATCCCTGTCGGCTTATTGTAGGGATCGTCTAGGTCTGGTGTGCTTGGAGAGGCTACAATCAATCTGGCAGGTTACATGCGTTCAAAAGCTTCCGTTCGCATATCGTTACCTTTGAAAAAATGCAAACATGGAACATTTATACAAGTGAGTTTTCTCCAAGCGCTTCTAAATTCTATTATTAATTTACTGATCAATGATGCCAAAAGTTTACTACTGTATCAAGAATCATTGCACAAATGTTGGATAGTTTTCTCTGTTAAGAATATAACCTCTTTACTGATGGCGGGGACCAGCCCTTTTTTGGTAACCATATTAAACTGACTTGTTACCTTCATGTCTGTGTAAATGAATGTCTACTTCTAAGTTTTCAGCCTTAGATTTCATTTGACCATTCAATCAAGCTTGTCTGGTATGATATGATATAAGGGCATCTCTCTTCAATTATTCGCAATGGAATTTATTAGCTTTCCTCATTTTATTTTATCTTTCACTGTTAATAAACACCAAATTATTCTCAAATAAGAACCTTTTGAAACCTTGATGGCTTTTCTTCATTTTATTATCCTGATCTGGTGCTTTGCTGTATATTTTTCTCTACTGATTTTAGGTTATGATTATATGGAGAAGTTAGTCAGTTACAACTCATGACTAACTTACACATCACTCAGCCTGTTCACAAGAGCATTGTTTTCCGTAGAACATTACATGTTTTACTCCAGATATGTTTTTGTACAGACCCCATAGCTGACAAATGCAGCTTTTGCCCATCTCCTAAAGGCAGGAGCTACCATCTCACTTACACATCAAACTTTCTTTCCAACAATAAAATAACCTTAACCCGATGAGCCTAGTAACCTCGACTTCAATGCGCAGTCCAAGCCTGTCTGTTCAAGACAGATTCTGCACACCATTTTTGGTGGTGGATCTAACTTTTGCCTTATTCTCTTCCATAAGGGTTGATGTACGTTGGTGGATCCATAGTTATGCTGGAGGCAACAAGTTGATAATTGCAAATAGGCTATTTCTGCCATAATTTCTCCTATTTTCTTAATCTGGACAAGCAAATAAATCATCGAGTGTCGTGTTTGTGTTTTTATGGCTATAGAAATAAAATGTTTATTTAGAAAAAAAAAAAAGAATTTTTAACTATTCAAATTAAACCTAGTCCAGTTAGATCCAAGCAAAATTTACTAGGATGTTAGTCTCTATGATTTAATATGGTTTATCAGATTATATGCATTATAATTGAAGAATCCTATTACCCCATAGCAATTTGGTATCCGATTACTTACATATCTTACTGATTTCAACATTGTACATAAATGTGTGAAGGTGTGGAATCAGTCCTTCAATGCTTTTTGACATGTATGTGATGTTAAACCCAAGGTTTTGAAGTTGGGGTTGAACTTCAATCATTCAAGGAAATGAATTTTTGTAATGGAAATTAAGGTTTTAGAAATTTATAACTGGAAGTGCACACAGTTAAACATGGTTTGTAGCTTAAAATTGAATGTATAACTAAAACCCAGTCGTCTTTTTTTTTTTTTTTTTCTCTGCAGATTGAAATTCAGTGCGTAACACCTAGACCAGAAATCAGGTTTGCTATTTAATACGGAAATTAACTTTGTTTCAAAATTATTAATTTTCTTTTGTGGTTGTAAGAAGTTACTACATAATTTACAGGGATGAAAACTGGCAAGAAACAAATTCATACATGGAAGATGCAATTTCAGATTATGACGACATAGACAACAAATCGGATGTGTCTGGTTGTACATTCGCTAGGAGTGTTGGATCTTCCTCAAGTAACCATTTGGAAAATACATCTCACCCAGGAGAACTTGGTAGCAGGGTATGGTCACTAACTTTCTTATAATAAGGTTTATTCTATTTCTATAACTTCTATTTAGACCTGTATCATTTTTCTTTGGGTTAAATGCATAAAACCCCCCTACACTATAGATTTTGTGCATAATGACCCCTCTTTTTTAACATGTGCATTGTCAGTCCCTTTTTTTCAAAAAATGTGCAAAAAACCCCCTCTGACCACTTTTTGGTCAAAATTGACATAAAGTAAATTTAGAAACCCTATTTTGCCATTTTATCTTCCTATTATGCCCTTTTCTAAGGGACACTGCTTCTCTCCATATTACACCCCTCACCACAACCAGTGGCGCAGCACAGCCACCACCCAAATCGACGGTAGCTGGCATCACCTCCACCGGTGGCGGCAACACCCATCTCGTAACAGCCACCATTATCGCCACCCCTCAACCACCAGCAGCGCCATAACCGCCATCCCCAACCCCACCACCACCATCATCCTCACCACAACTGCCACCACCACTATGTCTATTCTGGCCATTCAATTCAACCCCATAGCCGGTGGTGAAATCTTCATAGCTAAGGTTCGGCGCCGATCTGCTAAGTTGACTCAGTGTGTCATCGAACAAAGCCACATCACAAACCCACTTCATTTAAACTCCTCATCTACCGTAAGCAAAGCAATTTAACCCTTCATCCTCGTATCACTTTCGCCATATATATAATATGGGTTTGAATTGCAACACCCCATCAAACTCTCTACAAAATCCATCACAGATGAAGACTACAGTCCCCACACTCAAAAACCACAACACTGCCACAGCACCGACACCACCGGCCACCACAGCACTGCCACAACAATTGGCTGCAGCGGCTACACCACCACAGTCCCCGCACTCAAAAACTACCACCCCACACCCAAAGCTACCACCCTTACCACTACGTAGCAATGGTCGTCGCCAAAAATCTAGCCTTCAACACCACAATATGTGGCGTTTCCTGACCCCTACAGCCACAACCACCATCCCCACCACCCACAATCACTGTATTCAGGCTTAAGAACCACGCCAATGATCTCACATTTGTCCAGGAACAAGTTTCGGCGAACGAGCTGACTTCAGCGACACTCGCACAACTTTCATCAAATCCATCCATGGCAAAGAGAATAACCGGTCATCGATCTTCAGCAACGACTTACTGGATCTTGGTTCTCATTGGAGTTTGATTCAGTCCTGCCCGGAACGTCATCTGAACCTTGTCATCATCGGAGTTTGGTCCTCGCCGGTAATATCAGTTTCAGAGTCCATGGCTGATGTTCTGTTTCGACCATCCTTGCTCGCTGGTTCTACCGTCGTTCAATGCTCGCCAATTCAAACCCATTTGCCATTCAGTTCTTGCTCACCAGCTCAGTTCGCATCTCGCCACCAATTCAGTCCTTGTTCCTCGCTGGTCAGTTTGCTCCCGCCGTTGGTGTCCCCAGAGAAAAGGATAAGACTCGGCTGAATCCTTTTGTCGGTTCATTCTTTGGCCGCCATCCGGTCTCGCCTGTTCCATTCTTTCTCCTCACTAGTAAATATTTGTGTATGTATGTGTGTGTGTGTGTGTATATATATAATATATATATATATATACACGGTTCAATTCCAAGCACCCAAACACCACCACCATCTTCAGAATTGTGTGTATATATGTTTGATCGAATATATATATTTGAAGTAAAGGATGGAAGGTGGTGGAGGGGTTGGCCTGACACAATACCGGCAGAGGTGTTGGCATGAAACGATGGAGAACCCCCCAATGATGGGGTTTGGGAGTTTTCTAAAATAGTAATTTTATATTATTTGATTTTTTAAATATGATTTTATTTTACTAATGTTAGAATATTTTGGGTCATTATGTAATTACATATAGTTGATAGGGTCATTGTGTAATTAGCTAAGTCCTGTACTCTATATAAGCCACTGTACTAGGGTCTGATATGAATGAAAATACACATTATGTATCCACTGTGTTATCTCTCTCTCTCTCTAGTCACAACATGGTGTCAGAGCGGTACGAAACAATGGGAAAACTAAGATTATGGTTGTGATTGCATTTGTGGCGTTCTTCTACAGATCAGAATCGAGATCGAAGTTGATTCTGTTCTTCGCGACAGGTTTGGCCGTCATTCTGGATTGGCGATCGGAGGTTTGAAGCTGTCGGAGGTTTGAAGCTTCTTGTCTGTCGTTCTCAAATCTGAAGCCCTTTGTTTTGTAGGCTGAGGCTGCCTTGGTTGTCGCAAGTTGCAGAGGTTGCATCATCGCGAACCCTTTCTGCTTGGTTATTAAATCGCCGATTGTGTTGGGTTACTGTCGTCACCGCTGCAAGGGCTAGGGTGTGTACTAGCCTTGATTCTTCATTGCGAACCTTGGGTGATTGGAGTTTATGGTCGGTGGCATAGATCTGGTTCTTGTCGGCGTTGATTGTGAAGGAAAAAAGTGGTGTTTGGCTGCAGGCGTGAAGTTATTCCAACCTTGGATTACTAAAACCGGAATAGCAAAGAACTGGTTTTGATTTAGCCCGTTTGCCCAGATCCGGCCCGCCTGCCCAGATCCGGCCCTCCTGCCCAGATCCGGCTCGTTTGCCCAGATCCGGCCCGCCTGCCCAGATCCGGATTCAGTTTTTTTTTTTTCCCCAGGTTCGGTTTTCTTCTCTGTTTGTCCTTTTCCATGGCTGCTGCCGGTTCCGACCTGTTTTCTTCTACTTCTTTCAATCCTCCCATAACTTCTGTCAAGCTCAATGGCAAGAACTATATTTTATGGGCCAAGTCCGTAGCTATTTTTCTGAAAGCCAAAGGCTTTGGCTCTCATTTGGTAAAGGATAAGCCTAAAGAAAGTGATGCAGATTTCAGTTCATGGGACCAAAGGGATGCTCAGATAATTTCCTTAATGCTGAATTGTATTGAACAAGATATCAGCTCCCACCTGTTGTATTTGGATACTGCCAAGGAGATATGGAATCGCCTCCAACAGCTATATTCAGGTACTGGTAATATCACCAGAATTTATGAGGTGTGAAGACAATTCTTTGACCTCCGGCAAGGTACTCATAGTCTTGCAGAATACTTCTCCCAGTCAATGGGAATTTGTGAAGAAATGAACTTGTATCAGCCTATCACCTCTGATGTAAAGAGCATGCAACAACAACGTGAGGATTTTAATGCTGTTCGGTTTCTCACGGGGTTGTCACTTGAATATGAATCAGTTCGTGTACAGATTTTGGGTAGCCCTACACTTCCCTCTCTTCTTGATATGTTCTCTAGACTCCAGCGTGCTACTTTATCTAGTGGCGCTTCTGGGAGTGCTTCAAGTGGTGTCACTGCTCCTCCTAGCAGTGAACATTCTGCATTAGTTGTGAACCAGGGTGGTTATCAGCCTTCTCGTGGCGGTGGCGGTGGCGGTCGGTTTACTCGTGGTCGTGGTCGTGGTCGTGGCAGAGGTAGAGGCAGAGACTCAAAACTCTGCACTCACTGTGGTCTTACTAATCACACTGTCAGTTACTGTTGGGATCTTCATGGGAAACCACCACCTTCTTCCTATGCACATCAAGTAACCTCTAATGAAGGGGATTCTTCTTTCTCTGCTACACCAAATGCTTCACAAGTGGCTGCTCCACAAGTGGCTGTTGAGCCTGCTATGGTCACCATGACAGTTTCCCGCGATGAGTATGCTCAGTTTATGTCTCAACAACGGCCTTCCACCTCATCTTCCATGGTTTCCTTTGCCCAATCAGGTAGTGCACCTGCATGTCTCTTATCCTCTCGTCAGAGTCCCTGGATTCTTGACTCTAGTGCATCCGATCACATGACTGGTAGTTCTCATCTCTTATCTAATTTTCAGTCTGTTTCTTCATCACAAAGTGTTATTCTTGCTAATGGCTCCTCCACTAAAGTTTTGGGTGTGGGAACCACCCAACTCACGTCCTCTATGTCCCTTTCCTCTGTATTATTATTCCTCAATTCCCTTTTAATTTGATGCCCATTAGTCAAATTACTAAATCTCTTAATTGATCTGTTACATTTTATCCCTCGTGTTGTATTTTTCAGGATCTCAAGACGATGAAGAAGATTGGTACGGGATATGAAGTAGGTGGCTTGTATTACTTTGATATTGGGCCAACTCCCACGGCTCTTTAATCATCTTTGTCTCCTTTCTAGTGGCACTGTCGTCTCGGCCACCCATCCTTATCAGTTTTGCAGCGTCAAGTCCCCAGTCTTAGTCTTAGTCGTGTTGAGTCCATGCCTTGTGAAGCATGTCAGTTTAGTAAGCATTGTTGTGTATCTTTCAAACCGAGAGCTACCAATCGTGTTGCTAGTCCTTTTCAGTTAATTCATTCAGATGTATGGGGCCCAATAAAACATATTTCTCTTAATGGATTTCGTTATTTTGTGACTTTTGTGGATGATCATTCTCGTATGACTTGGTTGTTTTTAATGAAAAATCGTTCTGAGTTATTCTCTATTTTTCAAATATTTCGCAAAGAAATCAAAACTCAATTTGAATGTTCCATTAAAGTTTTACGTTCTGACAATGCCAAAGAATATTTCTCGGACCCGTTTGAGACTTATTTTCATGCTAAAGGCATCATTCATCAATCATCTTGTACTTAATACTCCTCAACAAAATGGAGTAGCTGAACGTAAAAATCGTCATCTCCTTGAAGTATGTCGCGCCCTTTTATTCCATATGCATGTTCCCAAACGTTTTTGGAGTGATGCTGTTCTTACAGCTTGTCATCTCATTAATCGGATGCCTTCATCAGTGTTAAAAGGGCAGTCTCCTCATTCTGTTCTATTTCCTGACTCCGCATTGTTTAATCTTACTCCTCGGGTCTTTGGATGTGTGTGTAATGTCCATAACCTTGGGCCCGGTCTTGACAAACTCGACCCCCGTGCCACTAAGTGTGTTTTTCTTGGGTATTCTCGCACTCAGAAGGGTTATCGTTGCTACAATCCTCATTTTCAGCGCTATTTCACTAGTGCTGATGTCTCCTTTTTTGAGTCTCTCCCATTTTTTTCTGATTCTACTACCCCTCTCGATATTACTCTAGCGTTACCTATGCCAACTGTTTCCTCTCTGCTTCCTGCTTCCCCACCTCCTCGCTCTGTTGTCCCCTTGCGGGTTTATACTCGACGACATCGACTGCCTACTTCGCTCCCTCTATCTCCTTCAGAGTCTTCGGATCCGACGCCTTTACCTGATGATTTACCCATTGCTCTCCGTAAAGGTATTCGGTCGTGTGTTACTGCACATCCCATTTCTAACTTTGTCTCCTACCATAATATTTCCTCCTCTTTATCTTGTTTTTATCCAAAATGTCTGCTACGTTTGTTCCCAAGACTTTGTAGGATGCTCTTTCTAATTCGGATTGGCGTAACGCCATGGTAGATGAAATGGATGCCCTGCACCGTAATCGGACTTGGGATCTTGTTCCCTTACCTCCGGGCTCCAAAACGGTTGGTTGTAAATGGGTCTATACTGTTAAATACCTTCACGATGGGTCTATTGAGCGGTTGAAGGCTCGTCTGGTGGCAAAAGGGTATGCTCAGACTTATGGTATAGACTACGATGAGACCTTTTCTCCTGTTGCTAAGATTTTTTCTATTCGGGTACTTATTTCCATTGCTGCCAATTGTCACTGGCCTTTGTTTCAATTAGATGTCAAGAATGTCTTTTTGCATGGTGACTTAGTTGAAGAAGTTTATATGGAGCAACCACCTGGGTTTGTTGCTCAGGGGGAGTATCGTCACATTGTTTGTCGCCTTAAAAAGGCCCTGTATGGATTGAAACAATCTCCACGGGCTTGGTTTGGAAAATTCTCTGAGGCGGCATTAGAATTTGGTCTTAACAGATGCCAGATCGATCATTCGGTATTTCACCAGCGCACTAAAGCTGGCTTCATTTTTCTTGTGGTGTATGTAGATGATATTGTGATCACGGGTGATGATTCTGAAGGCATTGCTAAGTTGAAGTTGTTTATGCAAAATCGATTCTATACTAAAGACTTGGGTAAACTTAGGTATTTCTTGGGTATTGAAGTTTCTAGATCCAAGAAGAGTAAAAGTTTATCTCAACGCAAATATGTGTTGGACTTGTTAGAAGAAACAGGTATGTTGGGTGGTCGTCCAGTTGATGCTCCTATGGATTCAAATACAAAACTTGTGTCTGATGAGGGTGATTTATTTAATGACCCGGGCAGATTTCGTCGCCTTGTTAGGAAATTAATTTATCTCACTATCACTCGACCTGATATTTCATATGCAGTTAGTGGTGTAAGTCAGTTCATGGGAGCTCCTAGAATGCCACATTGGGTTGCTGTTTTTCGGATTATCCGATATCTCAAGCAAGCTCCAGCTTTTGGGTTACTATATAAATCAAATGGTCATCTCAGGGTGGAAGGTTTTTCAGATGTTGACTGGGCTAGTTCTCCATCAGACAGGCGATCTACTACAGGCTACTGTACATTTGTAGGAGGAAATCTTGTTACATGGAAAAGTAAAAAGCAAACGGTGGTAGCTCGATCTAGTGCTGAAGCTGAGTACAGGGCAATGGCCCATACAACTAGTGAGTTGACTTGGATACAACATTTTCTAAAATAACTTGGGTTGACAGTTGAAACTCCTACTCCATTGTTCTGTGATAATCAAGCAGCTGTTCACATTGCATCAAATCCTGTGTTTCATGAGAGGACCAAACATATTGAAGTTGATTGTCACTTCATTCAAGGAAAAATATTAAGTGGGAGTATCTCTACTCCATTTGTGAAGTCTGAAGATCAGTTAGCTGATATGTTTACCAAAGCATTGGGTCATAATCGGTTAAGGACTATCTGTTCCAAGCTGGGATTATTTAATATATACTTTCCAGCTTGAGGGGGAGTGTTAGAATATTTTGGGTCATTATGTAATTACATATAGTTGATAGGGTCATTGTGTAATTAGCTAAGTCCTGTACTCTATATAAGCCACTGTACTAGGGTTTGATATGAATGAAAATACACATTATGTATCCACTGTGTTATCTCTCTCCCCCCCTCTCTCTCTCTAGTCACAACAACTACCAAGAGGGTATTATAGTCTTTTTATGTCTCAAGGGGGTATTTGCATCAAATCAATAGTATAGGAAGGTTTTAAACTACACAGACGTTTTTGCACTATATCGATCGTACAAGGGGATTTTCTGCAATTGACCCTTTTTCTTTTTAGCTGTCAGCCAAGTTCTTAATCATAATCTCGTGTACTTATTCCTTACCATACCTAAATAATGCAAATTAAATATTTGTTTATTAATTAATTTTGATAGTTTTTTTACTTTGTTTCAAAGTTGAGAGCTATTAGATATTACTGAATTACTGCTAGGACTTCAAGAATTTGGTATTCTGCCATGTGACTAATGGATATCACAATCTTCTATTTCTTTAACGTGTTTCCACTGGTGGACCTAGAAATTTTCACTGGAGGAAGGCAGCAAGGGGATTAGAAGCTAGAAGAATTGTACATAATTGTTTAAAATTATATATATATATATATATATATATATATATATATATATATATAAAACACTAATATATACAAGGGCTAGGCAACAAGGGAACTCGAGTCATAGACATTTAAGGTCCGAGTCCCATGGACATGAGACGCCATCTGGATTTATTAATTATTAATGGATTGTATGTGATAGCCATCATAGGGTTGCTTACCTTGAAATTGAATATTCTGATGTTAAATATAAATTTTAATAAATTATACAAACTTACAAATCATTATCTAACATTTTATTTTAGTAACTGCTTGGAGATGTAAATACAATTGTTCAACTGTGTGACTGGATACAAAATTTTCTTTGGATATTATTTAATCTTTTTTGTTACTTCTATGGGAAAGTTTTTCAGTAAACACTTGAGGAACATCTGAAAATATCTTCTCAAATGGGGCTATGAGGTGAATGTCTTAATAATTCAACGGTCTAGCAAAATTTTTATACGATGCATAGAGTGGCTTAGATGGGTTTGTTTGAAAAATATGAAAAGATTGGAGCCAGGTAAACTGAAATATACAAAGTTTGATGTGTAGTTCATTTAAAAGATCTAGAAAGTTGGAGGAGCGGCTTATTTGTCAAAAATAAGAAAAGTTAGAGATGGGGTTAATTTTGATATGAAAAGTTTAAGCAGGAGCCAATGGAAGTATGAAAAGCTCACTTTGAGGTCATCCTCTTCTTGGATCAGGATATTTTCTTAGGGATGGGTGGTGGAACATTAATTTGAGGCTCAGGTTCAAGTTCTATGAGTTATCACTGATGTAGGTCTAGAATAACTCTGAAACAAAACTGCAACAATTTTCAGGAATTTGGGGGCAACCATGGCCCCTTGCCAACTCTATCAAAAGTCTGTCCAGTATGTATATGAGAAAAACAGGCAATTACTACATTGATTACAAATTTTCAGGAATTTTGGGGCAACCATCTTTTTTGCCTCTGCATTAGTTTTCCAACATCATAATCGACTCATATCTATATGTCCTGTGCAAAAGCAGTTATAAATAAAATAACAGTGCTAAAGTACTCAGACAATTACTATGTTGCGGCTTTTTTATGGAGAGGGCAGGCATATATATTATCAATAAGAGGGTAAGACATCTTCCTATTGAACTTTGGGTGTTTGCTCATGGGACAAGAAAGGTAAAAAGACAACACTTGAAGAAAAAATCCTATAGTTAAAAAAATTTGAACGTACAATCTATAGACGAGAGGATTCTTTCAATTACATAGACATGAGATATAACTTTCAGTACCTTGAATAATTAGATATTAACCCCAAGGGTTGGCTCAAGTGGGTAAGTCACTTTGCCCTGGTGCTTCATGAAGCATCGGGTCTAAGGTTTGATTCCTCTTGGGTGCAAACAATTCCTTGGAGATTTTTTTTTTTTGGGGGGGCGGGGCTAAGCTGTTTGTGTGCATTGGAGATTGTGGAATAACTCCATTGGAAGGAGGAATGCCAATGAGACCACATACCTTGTCAAAAAACAATATTTGAAGGAAAAAGGAAAATCCATGCTAGCTATGATCAAATACAAAAACCACTGGTTCAGTAATTGGTGTGGCTGTTTCAATTGAAATACGGAGATTAAAGAAATATTGAAGTTCCAGGATAACAGCTCACGAAGAAACCCAAAAGAAGAAGGTTGTAATTATATGAACTGGTTTCTTCAGATTGAACTCCTTTTGTTGTGCAAGTTGAGATGCATCACTGTGATCAAAGTAGTAAAGTTCGTCAATCATAGTTGCAGGAATAAATGCTCCAATAAAATTTCATTTTCTATTTTATTTTTGGTGCCAATGATTTGTACCGGTGCTTGACAATTGGCCTTGGTTTTTTTTGGTAGGTAAGTTACTCACACACACATCCATTTTGTCTCTGAGGGGACTTGAACCCTCAACTCTCCATCTGGAAGAGAAGGAAATACCACTTGGACAGATTTAGACCCTATGATTCTTGACAATTGGCTTGTATGAGGAAGGATCTGTCAGCCAGACTTTAGATGAGAATATACACAATCTGTAGCATTTGCTCTTGCTTTACAGTCGGTAGCTTTCGTATCTTGTACTTTATAAAATTATATTATTGTTACATATATCAAATTCCATAAAGTCAAGCAGGGACATCTTGTTTAATCTGATCTTGTTACATATACTTATATCAAATTCCACCTATTTGCACACACTTGGAGTACTTTTACTTCCTAGTTTTGCTTTGCCCTCATGTTGCTTGCTTACATTCTCTTTTTGTAACAGGAAACTAGTTCCTCAGTATCTGGTTCACGTAATAGCTTTGATTCCATGGAGGGTTCCTTAGGCAGGGAAAGTTTTTCATCTCGAAGCAGCTTAAGTGGAGCTGTGAGCAATATAATTGGAAGACAAGAATCAATTGGCTCCCTAAACAGTGCACCTTACAGCCCTTACCTCCTCTATGATTCTCCAAGATCAAATTTTTTATCGAATAATTCAGGGATCCCAGTTTCAGGAAGGCATCTTCAGAATCAAAGAGAAGACTTTGGACGAATGTCACGTGCTATTGCCACTTCACCATTGCGGCATGCTGGCCCCTCTAAAAATTTTCCGGAAGCTGAAGAAGATAGCGTTGGAGAACTTAGGGCAGAAGCTAGAATGTGGGAACAAAATGCTCGGAAGTTGATGCTTGATCTGGAATCCTTGAGGAAGGAATTCGCTGACCAGTCAAAACACTTGGCTAACCTGGATATGGAGCTTTCTGCATCACACACAGAGTCAAATAGATTGAACCAGGAAATTGAACACTTGAAAATCTTGTTAGAGGAATCATTGGAAAAACAAAAAGCTACCGAGGATTTGAAGCTTAAAGCCGACAATTTGGATAATGTTAAAAAGGAACTGGATGATGAGATAGAGTTTCAGAAAGAGTCGAATTACAATTTGGCTCTACAGCTAAAGAAAGCACAAGAATCAAACCTTGAGCTTGTTTCCATTCTTCAGGAAATGGAAGAAACCATAGAAAAACAGAAAAGTGAGATAGAGAACCTTTCAACAGTAAATTCAAAAATTGCTGGTATAGGAACAAAGTATAATTATGGACACGAGGACAATGGAGAAGCAAACTCAAAAAAGGAAGTTTCAATGGAGGAAATGCAGAAGGCCTCTTGTGATTTGGATTGGGTTGGTAGTGCTGTTGAACACCCAATAACAGAGTTGCATGCAGATTATGAACCTGGGGATAACCAGAACTTAAAGCTGGAGATACAACAGTTGCAGGAATCACAAAAGAATTTGAGAAGTAGCATTCTATATTTGGGAAAAATCTTGGAGGACAAAAATCTCGAGTTAGAAGCTGAACGAGATCTCAAGACTCGAACTCTATTGGATTGTGAGACGCAGTGGAGACATAAATTAACTGCAAAAGAGGAAGAAATCGTCTCCTTGGAAGCAAAATTATCGAGAGCACTCAGTGCTCAAGATTCAAATGTAACGGAGTTTGAAAATAGAGGCAATCTCTCTTTAATCAAAGAAATTGAAGCTCTAAAGGAAAAAGTACAGGAGCTTGAGAGAGATTGCAATGAGCTTACAGATGAAAACCTGGAACTTCTATTCAGGCTCAAAGAATCGAGAAAAGATCTTTCAACAAGTGGTGCCACTTTTGATTGTTCATCCACCGAGTGTCCAGCCAATGATTCTTCCATTGCTTCTGAATCTGAAGTACAGAAACTTAAGTCCCAAGTATGCCAACACGAACATGAGATGAAGGAGAAGGAAATCCTTATTGAAGGAATTGCCAGTGACCACTTACAGATTCAATGCATAGATATCGGAAGTAAGTGTACGGACCTGGAGCTCCAGTTGGAAGCTTTAGAAGATAAAACTTGTTGCCTTGATGGTGAACTCTCCAAATGGCGGTGTAAAGCAGAAGAGCAGGAACTTGAAATTGCTTCACCGAGGCTTCAGTTGGAATGTTACCAAGGAGGAAAAACTGGGAGCAAGGAGTATTCTATAGATGTCTGTACAAAGTGTGGGAATTCTGAGTCACAAATTGCCATCGGCATGTACGAAATATTGCCTGCATTATGTCAACAGCTTCAACTTTTCTTCATCAATTTAAAGAAGCAACCGTATACTCTTCATATACCTGTAAATACTGATTGTAATTATGCTATCGATTATTTAGCTATTGCAAATTCGATTACTCAAAAAGAGCAGGTTGCCACCTTCTTGGACAATTTAATTCAGCTGAACAATTTATTTGAAACAAGGATTACAGTGTCTGAGGGTGATCTTCAATGTAGTGAAGAAGAAATCAGAGCGAGAATTACAAATGCTAGCGAAGTCCTGAATAAACTGGATGGTGATAATTTGGAGAAAAATACCCTCGTCTTTTCTAGTCAAGAACCAAAAAGCTTGAATGAGAAACTGGAATCAAGAGTTGCAGATCTGAGTAATGAACTTTTGGCTAAAGATGTTGGGATAGGAGAGCTTAAGGTTGACCATTTGCTGAAGGAAGAAGAGATCAAAGCTTTAATGCATCACCAAAGGGATTTGGAAAATCAAATTTCTGATCTCAAAAAGACAAAAGGCGAGATGGAGGAAAACATGGATGTTATGCAAAGAGAAGGTAGTACCGCCTCTAAATGCTTGGATGAGTTGAGGAATGATATGATGGTGCTCAGCAGCTGTATGGATTCCCATGTTTCAGCAAACAAGGTTCTTCAAAGGAAAATCTTGGAGCTAGAAAGCAGCAAACAGGAATTAGAGCTCCACTTGTCTGAACTAGAAGAAGAAAATGTGTATTTATCAGAAAGGGTATCTGGCTTGGAAGCTCAATTAAGGTATTTGACTGATGCAAAGGAGTCAAGTCGTTTGGAACTACAGCATTCAGAATCTCATATTATCAATCTCCAGGATGTGATAAGAACATTGGAAAACGAAATGGAGGCACAAAAGATTGATATGAAAGAGAAGTTACAGGACATGCACAAGCAGTGGTTAGAAGCTCAAGAGGAGTGTGAGTATATGAAAAAAGCAAATCCAAAATTACAAGCTACTGCAGAAAGTCTCATTGATGAATGTAGTTCACTTCAAAATTTAAATGGAGAGCTAAGGCAGCAAAAAATTGATCTGAATAAGCGCTGTACTATCTTAGAAAAGGACCTGAGGGAATCAAGAAATAAATTCTCCGACTACTCAGAGAAGATTGATTTTTTAGAAGCAAAATTTTCCTCAATGCTGGAAGAAATTGCCTCAAAAGAGAAAACCTTAAATTCAGAACTTGATGCTCTCTGTCACCAGAACAAAGAACACACAGAAAAAATTATTCTGGAGGAGAGCTTGTTGAATCAAATGTACTTGGCAAAGGCAGTTGAAGTTGAAAACCTTCGACTAGAGGTAACACACCTCACTGGTCAGATATCTGCAACTCATGATGAAAAGGAGAGAACACCTTCAGAAGTCGTACTCAAAATGCACTCCTTGCACGCAGCAGATAAAAGTAGGCTAGAAGCTTCTCTTCAAGAGTTTCAAGGAAAAGTCAAATGGTCTGAAAAAAAGCTTGATACGGTCCAGATGGAATATGAAACAAAGGTTCTAGGGCTAACGGGTGAGCTTGATGCTTCCAAACAAAACCAGGAAGTTCTGATGGCTAACCATGTAAAGCTACTTGGGTTGTTGGAAAATGTCAGATCTAATGAGGAGAAACTTGAAGGCACCATTAATGAGCTTGAATCAAAGCTTAAATCTTCTGAATATGAAAGGTTACAACTAGCAGAAGAAATTTCTAACCTGAAGATTCAATTGCAGAAAATACCATTGCTTCAGGATAAAGTTCTGGCTCTTAAAAGCTCACTCAATGAGACGACATTTGATAATGACAGACTGCGAACTTCATTACAGATGGTATCTGGAGATTATGAAAAATTGATGGTTGAGAGAAATTTATTTGTTCAGAAATTTTCTAGCATGCAGAAAGCTACCTCTGAATTAGAGGACTGTAGACGTAATAAAATTGCACTGGAGGAAAAAATTTTGCGGCTGGAGGGAGATCTAACTGCAAGAGAAGCATTATGCGCCCAGGATGCTGAGTTGAAAAATGAGTTTGGTCGGATAAGAAGAGTAAATAGCCAATTCCAGCGGAAGATAAATTTTCTTGAAGAGGAAAAAGAAGAGTGGCTGAAGAGAGCTCAGGCCCTTGAAGAGGAACTGAAGGAGAAGAAAGAAGTAAAACAGGATCATATCGAGTACTGTAGTAACCAAATTCCTGTTTATCCTGGATCCAATGCTACAAGTATTTCTGTTGATGAAGAATTGAAGCTTCCAGAGGTTTGTATAGCTACTCTCCTATTAAATCTTAATATGTTGTTCTGAGAATTTAATAAGAAAAATGGATTCATATAATTGCTTCTAAATTGACAGAAACAAGAAGAGGACAACGTTATTCAATTCAGCAAAGATCAACTGAAACCATCAATTGACACTGATCAATTACAACAGTCTTCAAAAAGTCAAGACAAACAAGGTTTTGTTCGACACAAGAGACAGGTTAATATTATTACTCTCTCCTGTGCTGTACTCCATATATATAACTTCATCAATATCTTTCTATGGGAAAATTAGTTCTTTATGGTTTTATTTGATGTTGGGAGGTGTGATTCGAACTCCAAGTTCAGCCTCTGGTGCTCCCCTGAAGAAGAAAATGGTAAAATTCCTTCGTCTTCTTCAGATTATTATCTACCCCAGCAGAAATGAGCTTCCAATCCACTAAGATCTCTTCCTGAATCTCCGTTTCTATTGTGTTGAATCTCTCTCATCCAACTTTAGATTCTCCAAAATTTGATTCTTAGTTATCCAAGTACCTTGTCACTATTTGTTTGGAAGGAAGGAAGGAAGAAGGGTGGAGGGAAGATTGGAAGGAATGAAGAAACTTCCTTCGTTTGGTAGAGAGGAGACAAGGAGAGAAAGGATAATAGGATGGACTAAAATACTATCCCTCATAAATTACAATACTATATCTAGTGATGAGTATATTGGTAAAAACAAAGGGAATAACATAATCTTTTCTCTAGGGATGTTCATCCCCCATTCAATTTTTTTTTCTTTCCTACCGAATGAAGCATTAGAAATGAATCCTTTACTCCTCTTTCAAGAAGATAATGGAACTTAGGAAGTCTTTCAGGGCACTGTAATGCTAGGTAGAAAAAAATTACTAAAAGATTTTGAATAATATATTTAAAAATAATAATTCAACTTCTATGTTTTTCCTAGGAAGATCATTATCTCAGTCAATTACCAAAAAGGAAAAAAAATATCTTAATGGAAAAGAGCACGGTGGTATCTCCATTGATGTTGAGTTTCCAACTATCCAATTTGTACTGTAGAAAATTAGTTTATTATTATTGTAATTTTTTTATTTTTCCATTTTTAATGAGGATAGTGGCATGAAAGTGATCATCCTTGCACTCAAACCCTTGGCATTCAAGCTTTCAATGCCAATATGTAGCCTCCACCCATGGCAGTTATTAATGAGCACCGCTAAGGGAAGGTGGGAGAGAGAGAGAATTTTGTTACAGAAAAAGGTGAAAGTTTTGTTAGTGGAATGTTATGTGTTTGATGGGATATCAATGAAAGGAAAGTTCATCTTTTAAACTAATATGACATGGCTACTAAAAAGGTATATGACCTGTCCCCAAAAAGAAGGAAACAAAAAACTATCAAGACATTAAGTGGGGCACCAGAGGCTAAACTTGAGTGCAAATAGAGCCTTGCTTAATTGTTATAAGAATCTTTTCAAACTTAATTTTTCTTTAGCTTTCCTTGTTCTTTTATTTCTTTCAGGCTGACACTAAACATTGTTATAATGCTGGAAGTTCTCAAGAGATTGCCATTGATACATGTTCAAGGATCCAAGTTCTTGAGAATGAACTTTCTGAGGCATTGGAAGCAAATGACATGTATAGAACCCAGCTTCAAAGGTGAGTATGAAAAAACATCTTCTCATTTAAAGCACTTCATTTCATTGCATCTTCTTACAATTCATGTCAGGGAGATGTTTATTTCCAAAACTCGAGTATCAGTTGGAGTATTTTTATTTATTTATTTTTGCTGTTTTGCATACCCTATTGCAGGAAAAAAAAAAAAAAAAAAAAAAAAAAAAAAAAAAAAAAAAAAAAAAGGGAGAAAAAGAGAGTCAAAAAGCTTATTTCTTGCTATCCTACCAAACACAACAGACAATTCTCAGTTCTTCCAAATTGCCAAAACATCAAACGGCCTCTCTCTCTATCTCTCTCTATCATTTGGATTGTTGCAATGACATTTTGAAGGTTGCAGATAGTGATATTCCTTAAACTTCAGCTAGAATGATAGCTTTGAGATGTAGCGAACAAGAAGAGGAAAAAAGGCTAAAATTAAAAGATTCCCGTGAAGGAGGAGATGCCGTGGAAGACCTGCTTGGACAGTGTCATTTTTGTTGTGAGTGGTATAGGAATGGTTTGGCGTAAGAATATACTTGAGAGCTGGCCCCTTTAGAGATCTAAAAACGCTCTGTTGATTCCTCTGCTTGAGAAGTTTGTCCAAACCATGAGTGTTGATAATTTGAGTGGGAGCATTTGAATATTATATATATAGTGTGTGGCCATTATTTGAGTTCCTGTAATGGGGCAGGTTCAAAGAGGAAGATGGAAGAAAAGTTTCCTGTGTTTGATTATTCAAAATTGGGCAACCCTTCTCCCAAAGTTATGGGGCTATTTTGCCAAGTTACTTAGTTGTCTCGCGCCACAAGGGTTTAGCATTCGATGTGTTTGGACTTTGGAAGCCCTATGTCAAAAACATTCAATGTGTCTTTCTTGCTTTGATCCCGATAAAGTAGAAAGATAGACTCCAGAGTTTCAAATCCTTGAAAGAGAGATGTCCTGAATCACTAGAGGAGGTCCACAGTATGGAAGAAACAAGTGTTTCCACAACTTATTAAGAAGTTCAATACCATAGTTCGAATTATTCCTAGATGAGGTCAACAGTATGGAATAAACAAGTGTTTCCACTACATATTAAGAAGTTCAATACCATAGTTCGAATTATTCCTCCGTTAGCTAAAGCCAAAACTGACAAGGGATAGTTCAGGATTATTGACATGAATGATGATACACTCTCGAAGAGGAATCTGTTGATTCTCTCCTATTTAGTTGGACCATAGTGTTACGAAATTAAACAGAAATCAGATCAAACACACACAACAAGAACACAGATTTTTACTTGGTTCACCAAAAATTAGGCTACATCCAAGGGTTGCATGGATTTCACTATGATGATCAAAATGGCATCGAGTTCAGACTGAATAAATACCCTCGCACTAGGGCAACATAACAAGTGCAGAAATTACCAAAATATCTTACAAAAAATTATGTATCTATCAGGCTCCACACTACCCATCATGTAGGTGCCATGAAATTCTTCAATTTCTTTCGGAAGCAGATTCACATTCAGTAATTAGTTGTGACATTAAGGAATATCTAGAAAAACATTTCAGGAATCGGTTTCAATTCTCTTCAAAAAAAGAGAAGCACTTCATTGTTAATAAATTTAATAAACAATTTTTTTTTTTTTGGACCTACATTACCCCATAGAGATATTGAGGCTCATCTGTATCAGAGGAGCCTGTGTATGAACAATGATTAATTTTACTTCCCTACTTAGCTACTTTAGGTTGGGTGGTAGGTCATGGTGGGGAAGTTATAGACCTGTCCATACATTTTTAGCTTTTTTGTTTAAAAGTATATGGTAAAGGTGCGAAAATAGCAAACCCTTTGTCAGGAGTATGTGCTCAAAGACCTTATGAGAACACCTACTACAATTTTATGCAAATAAAATTAATTTGCTTGAACTGAATGGAAGTTAGGAATACATTCTAGACCAGCTCGCTTGATTTCCATTTTTTCCAAAGTCGCATATTGACAACAAGCGAAAGCTATGAATGTTCACAAGGAACGATAAACAACTTTACAGATAAATTCACAGAGAAAATTTGATATTGTATTAATAATTGGATAGATGATTCTGCTCTCTGCATTACATGTATTTATAATGAAAGAGAATCCTAAATCATAAGGAAACTAACTGCATCAGGAATCCTTAGGAAACCTAATCTCAAAAGGAAATTAACACTAAAAAATAAGCCTAAAAATAAAGTTTATCTAAAAATTCCGGAAAAATAGAGTAAGAAACTAATCAATAAAAACTAATAATTATAAAAATTGAGAGAATTCTGAGTCCATTTAGACCACGAACAAAAATCCCAAATAATCAACAGGCTTCCTAAGGGCTCCTATATGACGGAAAAACTTCATTTTGAGGCCCTAACGGATGGATTTCAGCCGAAAAATGGTGTCATGACAAAGCGGTGAGTATTGCTCATTGGGTTGTTTCCAGTAAAAAAACCTGGTCAAAAAGGACACTTTGCCAATGGCCTAAAAAAAAAATTTCAGCACGCGCATTTGGCCCTCTAGCGGTCCAAACAAACCATATAGGCTTCAGCAATCAGTCCTACATCACTTATATATCCAATAGATCTCTCAGCAAGTCAGCACGCCATCTTTCGAGAAGTGCTCTTTGTCTGTGTGCATGTGCGTGTGCACATGTGCTGATGCCTGTGACGTTAAAATAAATTCTTAGTCATGTATGCAGCAATTCTAACAGGTTTTCTTCCTGCTGCTTTGGTTCAGTTTGATGTCAGAGAAAAAAATCAGTTCATCAGATGCGCCGGAGAAACTAAAACTCGAAGATAAAGCAATCAATAGAAAGGGAAATGAAGAGAAGACAGCTTTGCTGGAGGCAGAGTTAAGAGAGATTCGAGAACGCTATTCTCACATCAGCCTCAAATATGCAGAGGTAGAAGCTCAGCGTGAGGAACTTGTGATGAAGCTCAAGGTTGTCAACAGTGGAAGGAGATGGTTTTCATAAATTCAGGTCCTTTTTTTTTTTCTTTTTTTTTTTTTGGGGGGGGGGGGGGGGGGGGGGGGGAGTTGGGGGTGAATTTTTCTCTCATTTTCTCAAAGTTAATAATATACACGGGTGATACTTGATAGAAGAAAAAATATGCATATTGTTCAAAGGAGGATAAGAGTCAGTAGAAGAGGCTGCTTGTAACAATAAACAAGTTGAGGAGAATAAATGAAAATGTCTTATGGTATTTGTGGGAAAATCTTGGAAATTTCTGTGCCAGATAGGTATATTGAATTATTGATTGTTGTTGCAGCACTAAAGAAAACTAAAAATATCCCAAAACTATGCAGATTAACTATGTTAAACTCGGTTAGGAGAGCCCTGTATTGGTATATTTGCAGAACAAAATGGTGAGTCAACACTAGAGAATGAAAACTCATTCGAAAAAAAAGGCATATCAACTTTATATCTTTAACAACTTCAATCGCATGTCAAGGTAAAGGAAATGAGGCTTCGCAGGTTAAATTGGCCATTTTGATAGGCAGGGCCGCAGGGGTGGAGCCAGTATAATGCCTGGGGCACATGCTCCCCTGGCCTGGCCTCCCCTTATTTACTCTTTAAATTTCTTTAATTTCCTTTTTTAAAAAGTCAAATTTTCCTTATTCTTTCATACTCTAACTCGTTTCTTTCAAAGTCCTATCATTTTTCTCTCTTTTTCTTCTTTTCGGTGTTTTTTCTTAAAATTCTTCAATTTTTTTCCCTTCACTATGCCCCCGAATTTAAATCCTGACTCCGTCCCTATTAATAGAGATAATAAAATACTTGTATATATATATTTATTATCCTGACAAGAAAAACACACCCACTTTATTATAGAATTGAAACATTCTACTTGACTCTATCATGAATGTGTTGGAGCTCGGAGATTGGTTGTGGGGGGAAAAATATGTGAGATAGTTATATTACTTGCCAATGAAAAAAAAAAAAATCGAAATTGGACTGCGAAAATGGAGGCCCACTACAGTCACTAAAAGCCTGGAATCCAAGACTAACTTGCCCTAACTCTACTACTGGGCCTACCCAACAACACCAGCTAATCGAACCACTACGCGAGGCCCAAATCACATACG